ATTTGATCTGCACATGATTTGCCTTTCTCAAATCCAGCTTTTTCCACTGAGTGGCAGAGTTCTGTATCCAGAGCATCCTTTACTTATTCCAGGATGACGTGACCTAGTATTTTACTTGGCATGGACAAGAGCATTATTCCATACTAGTTCTTGCAAAGTGAGGTGTAAGCCGACCTTCTTTGGTAGTATGACGAAGTAGCCAGCGTTTCTTCCAATCAGTAGGCACCTTTCATTCCCTCTAAGCTCTTGCAATAATAGAGTGAGCACATCTGCTATAGTCTCTGAGTTTGTTTTTAATGCTTCTTGGGGAATTCTGTCTGGTATTTGTGGGGATTTGGGTTAATACAATTTGAATTGTTTGATTTTACCGTAAACCAACATCTGTAGTTTCTCTGATTGATGTTAGTTTGTGAAAGATCTAACAAATGAAGTTAGAGCTTGAAGTATTCACGTCAGCATGCTGTCATCCAGTTGATAAATAGGGTGCCATATCAATGGTTATGCTTTTCGGAAAAGAGAAGATTGCCAAAAAATTCAGATGATATATATATATATGATCTCAGAGGATTACAAGAATAGACCACTGAAAAATGATCAATCATAAGCATGAAAGATCACATCGAGAAAGATAAAAGAAGTTAGGATATAAAGATTCTTTCTAAGCCATGTTAATTATGATTCCTTCAAAGTAAAACTATAAAACCATCCCTAATTAGGACTAAATCTCCTCCCTACTAAATTAAATTGTAACTTGTGCATTGGTGACGAATACTATAAAAGAAACTTTGACATGAGTGGCCAAGTTAAAGTATAGCGCCCCAGGGATATTTTTCTTTCCTTTAGCGTTTTCCGGTGGAACATAGGGCTTCAAGCTAGTGGCTTCAAGTTTCTGTAGCAGTGTTTATTTTACAGGATTGGGTTGCTCAATCTATCCTCTTCACCAGAAATATTTCTGGCTTAGCGAGGTAAAGGAGTGAGTCGGCCGGGGATCGAACTCCGGACCATTTACATGGTCGGCAAGCGTCGTAACCGCTATGCCACCGACACAGGGAGGAGAACGCATAAATAATCTATTTGCTCATAATCAGATCACATTAGTGGGACCGGGTTCAAATGAATGGGACACTTTTTCATATATATTTCTATCTTTATTATGAATGCTTATCTCAATTTCTCAACTTCTTCTTGAATTGGCTGCTTTGATGCTATTGGTCATCTGAAGGCTATCGGTGAGTCCGTTCCTGGTTGAGTCCAACTTTGACGGACTTGAAGCTACTATGTGTTATCAATAAATCTTAGTCGAATGAAAGCAACATTAAAGAATTACACAATATAATTAGATAGATTAATTCAAAATAAGAATTTGCCTTGAGATAGTTTCCTTTGATAAATACAAGTGTCCATTATATTTTCAACTTGATTTATATAACACAGTGATTGTTACTATTTGGTGATACAAATCACTGGAAATGGTTTCCTATTTTATACAAATGAGAGTTAAGTGTTCTTTGGAATCAAGACTTCTCCCAGAATACCTATAAGCATAGTTGATCATCTTATGGAATAAGGTATTTTCTTTGCAACCCACACTACTGATTAGTGTGAGAAGCTGGAAACAATCACACTTAGCATTAACGTCTATTGAACGAATTCTAAACTGATCTCATTCAAGATCCTTCTTTATTGACAATATTAAAAATAATCTCAAATACTGACATATTCTTTGAAGACTGACTTAACTGGAAGATGTCTTCAGAAGTCATTCCAACTGGTGAAAAACACCATATCGAGTCATGAAGTAATAAAGAAGCTAAGTACTTAAGGCATTCCACGTGTACATTATGTTAGAAATAGCGCCGGCTGATATAAGAATAGCGCTTGGCCATTGTCGTAGAGTATAATTCCAACAGAGAATAAATTCCTTCGACGAAAGAACACAATGATCCAGTATCACTTATTGGTGGTGTTTTGAGCACAATCCATTGATCATAATTATATCAAGGCTTTCACAAAAACTTGAGGATTTTATTTTTATGATTCTCTTGTTTTCCTGGGAATATTACTTTAACTTCCAGTTTTCTGATATCATCAGAGTGGACACTGGTTATAAACTTACTTTTATCATCTAAAATGAATAATTTCTTTTGTTTTATAATCGTATCTATCCATTGCAACCACATCTGATCCTATGTTAGATCCTAAGATAATTATATAAGATCTACATCTTAATTCCTTTAGGGTTTTAAAATGCAGTGAAGTCAAAATGCCTTTTTATTTCCGACTAGAATCACAGAACTCATGTCCTACATCAACACATTTAGTTCTCAACCAACTTCGATACTCCGTAGAGAACTGGGATTCAGCTGATCAAGCAGATTTTTAGGCTGAAAATCGATTGCTAAGTCAGGGATGTTGTTTAATGAGATACAAAAACTGTAGGCAAGTGTCAGTGACTTGATCTCAAATGCTGAACGCTCAACAGATTACAGATTCCCCACATACTGGCAATGGATTTGATTGTTAGTCATCGGTGCATGATTCAAGCAATTTTAGTCTAGTATTGTCTTTCACTTTACTAATTTTATTCGTCTTACTAAGTCTCACATCGACTATTCTAATGTGAATTTGTATGGAGTGATTAAACTTCACTTATATAGTTCCATTTTATTGTTTAGAAAGCATCTACAATTTTATCATATAAGGGATGGACATCTGAAACCCTACTTAGCTAGAATAAGGGTGACATTTGAATCTCCAAACTCACTGATGGACACGCTCAGTAGGCTAAAGGATCCTATGGACCGAATTTGATAGAATCATTTATTCTAAAAAATATCCTGCAATGAGTGCATCGGTGTCACAGTGATAGAATCCTCGCCAGCCACTCATCGTGTGGTCCAGGGTTCGACCCTAGGCACAGACACACTCCCAAAGCTCGCTAGTCTAGTAATAAGAATAGTAGAGAGCGAAGGCTGAGCATGAAGCTAGCGACCGCATCCTGAAAAATAATCACCACTGCTACCGGAACTTCAAGCCTCTAGCATGAAGCCACCCTATGTTCCACTGGGAACGTAAAGGAATAAAAACAAAACGAAAAATCCTGCACTGACTTGAGAACTTAACTGAGTAGAGTATGATTAACCCAGGAATATGAGTAGTCTGGGGAAAACCTTAACAATCTCAGTGCATATATTAACACACAGTCACACAATAGATGCGTACAGATTTACAGTCCTAAAACGCAACATAGGTTGGTGGAGGAAGAGGGTGATCAGTTAATCCCTGTTCATCGAATCTTTACCTAACATGTTAAGTGGGAATGAGGCGGTACACCAATACCAGGAATGTGGAAAACATTACTACTAATAAAAACAAAGGACAAGAAATAGTGAAATTATTTAAACAAAATTTGATATGATAAGGAGCAATAAATTGTTTTCTAAACATCATCAATAAATAAAACTATATCAGTGGATAATTTTATCAAATAAGTATTTCTCATGATGAAGGAAATAACGCTTAACAAATTTAGGAAGTTATCAAGGGATTTGATTAGTTACATGTATAATCCCGCCTTGATATCAGTTGGAGAATCATTGCAAAACCACCATGGAGTACTGGGTAGCTGTTTCGTCCTAGTTTGCCATGCTTCAACAGTACGCTGACACTGGGGTTCGACACTAGGCGAATTCATTGACCATTGAGTCATTTGAACCCGATTCAGATAATCATGAATTCCACAAGAGATTAGTTACTCGCCTATAACACTGGCCAGCGGTTGCGCTAAATATATATATATATATATATATTGCGAATTGGAAGTAGGTGAAATTCATGGACCATTGAATCAGGTCCCAGTGGTTCGATGGTCTACAAGCTTACCTTGTATCCAGAAGTCTCAGGGTTCAAACGCTGACTTTGGTGGAACACTGATGAAGGGTGGCATACTAGGGCGAAACAGCTGTCTAATACTCCCAAATTTAGAAAATTTCACTGGGATAAGCATAAGCACATTTACCTACAATTTGTTGCATCTTTCAACACATTAAAAGCATCCACATCCTACACGCGATTCGTATTCCTTAACTAATCATTGTAACAGTTCTATCTATTGAAAAAAAGGCCCATCTTAAACATGTTGTTTTTCTTTACAACATACTATTCACAATCGAAATTGATATTTAACACTAAGGCATATTTCATTATAATAAACACAAAAATAAGGTCAATCGGTGAGACCAAAAGTAAACAAGTCTTTAAACATGATACTGGTGTATATTTAAACACAGTGTATGTTTTATTATATATATATACGTGCGTGTATGATTGTATGAATTCTAATATTGCACAGCAATATTAATAATTAATATCATTACAAGTATTAGTAGTTTTAGTTCATAATAGCATAACTGATAAATTTGTATAGATATATAAATGTATACTACTAAGTTACTCTGTTACTAATGTGCGTATTTATTGTTCTGCTTTGTTTATTTTTATTTTTCAACTTTAAAACTCTTGAAGGATAACAAGTACAAGTACACATATAAAACTCTGTCCCACTCTCCATCGCCCTTTCTCTCTCTCTCTCTCTCTCTATGTGGGTCTGTTTCATCTCCTTCTGATAAACATCCATCCCAACATCTACTCTGATTTCACTCTCTCTTTCTCAGCGATAATGAATGAGGTAAAAAGTAGACAAATACAAATACTCAAAATACACTACACAAAGAACAATATACTGACAATAAAAGAAGAATAAAATAAAAGAATCACTTTCAAACTGGCCTCTTTTGGGATAAATTCCATCATTTCTGAAAAGTACAATTAGATATTTTTTGTGTTTATTAGTAATATCTGAATGTATAAGTGCAAAATAACTTGTATCTTTGTGAGTTTTGTCGTTAAGGGGGTGTTTTTCTCATGCATATATATATGTGGTAAGTCATTTTATTAGATTCAGAATGAACTCTGTGCAAAAAGGACAAAAAGAACACCGATTACATAATAGAACATTGATTATTCCGTAAAGCATTTTGTACAGCTCTAGCAGCTGTTGCTTTATGCGCCTGCTCTCTATTCTCTAGAATACGCATTAATTCTTTAAAAACATTCATAACATGCCAATTGTATTTAGCAGAACATTCAACAAGAACTGTACGTTTCCATTGTTTTTTAATAATAATATTAATATCACGACGTATATTATATCGATAACTGGAATTTGTTGTTGATGTTGTACTCTGTGATAAACCTGGTGTAGATGCCGTAACACCTGATGATGATGTGGATGACGATGAATAAAATGATGGTATAAAATGTGATGAATTTAATCCACTTGTGGTTTGTTGTAATAAATCTATTTTATTCGCTACTAACAACAGAGGGATATCATTAAATTCAGCGATAATTTGATCACGTAAATGACGTATATACTGAAATGAGGATTCAGAGTTCACATCAAAGACTAATATAAATGCGGTAGCATTTCTCAACCCCCAACCACGATAACTTTCCCATTCATCAACAGAATTTGTTGGAAATTTTTTTTCAATTGGTGGACAATCAATTAAACGAACATGATATAGGCGATCATTGAATGATATCATAGGATCATAGTAGACTGGACGATTACGTGTTGGTATAGGATTCCCAGGATCAATACAATTGATAAATTGTTTCACTAGAGTCGTTTTACCCGACTGACGATTACCGAGGATTGGAACACGTAAGATATGATCAAATGTATCGACAGTTGAGACATCATTTATTTCAATAATAGGTGTACTGTTATTATTATTGCTTATAACAGTTAAATTATTAGTAGTAGTAGTCGAAGGAGGAAGGGTAGGAGTAACATCAATTTGACTGAATGAAGGTTTAACAGAACTAACTTTTGAATTAGTGTGTAAATCAAAAATACCCTTCAATGGTATCCATTCATTCAATTTTGAAGTTGACGGCGACAAGGACGACGCTGGTGTTGTTGTTCCTGTTGTCTGTTGACTTGATAAAGGGGAGGGGATTTTTATTCGTGGACATGTAAATTTTACATGATGACCAGTGAGAAGAGTTTTTCTATCTGATTTCTTCCCAACTGATTTTGTTTTATCATAATCTGTTTTATTTACAAAATTTAATGAATGTATATTATCTTGACGTAATAATTCATTTTGATTAATAAGGGATTTAATAATTATTCCAGAAGAATTATTGATTTTAGCTGTACAAGCGACTGGTTTATTATGCTGTCTACGTGCAGCGACCGCTGCTCCTGCTGCTGTTGTCGCTGTTGCTTGTCCTTTTGCCAATGGTCCTCCAGGAACAGTAATAACTGAGATATTACCACCTTTCTTCTTATCCAAAGTATCATCATTGTCTTCTTCGTCAACCGTGCTAATTTGTTCCCAACCAGCAAGCCGAGCAGCGGAGCCACTACGTAATCGTCTGAGCTTGAAAATTTGGTCTGTGATAATTTATACACTGAAATTTGTCCGTAAGTAGTAATACTAATAATAATAATGATAATGATACTAGTAATAATAATATCAAATATATCCAAATGTTTTGTGCCTGACAAATGCATATAGCAATTAATATGCATACAATAATAAGAATAATAATGTTGGAAATTGATTTTACCGCTTATTTTCTTTTCGTTTGTTTAAATGAAGAGCGTCGTTACATTTATGATTCGATGAAATTGGCGGTAGTTTAAAAGTCCATCAGAAACTTTGATAAAAGTGTTTTTTTCTCACTTTCATAAGGATGCATAAAATACATAAATATGTTGTGTTTCTAAATAACTACATTTACACATTAAAATTTTGTAGTATTAACAATTATAAATTGTTATATTCCAGTGGAAACGCCAGTTGCCTTTATCACCTACTACTAATACTTCAATACTGTGAGAAAAACTTGAATTTTATATAATGATTCAACTTTTTGTTTGAAAATCAGAATTATTAATTTTATTTATTTGTTTTTTTCCACATCAAAATATATTTTCAATCGGTAGACAGACTAACTGACTGACTAACTGAGTGAATGAATGAATGAATGAATGAGTGTAGATGTGATTTTGGAGAGTTGAATGAAACTCACAAGTTGACCAACGGTACAAAAAAACCGACTATATACAATTTTAAACAATAAGCATAAACGCTAAAGTATGTGGACATATCTATGCATATATATATATGCCTACATAACTGAATAATGTATGTATATATATATATATATATATATATATATACATAAATGTATACCTGTTTCGTTTGCCATTCTATGAATTGTCTTCAACAAAGAACCAATAAATATCGTTGAAATATAGTGGGGTGATGTTGGTGGAGGTGTACATAATTTGTATATATTATAAAATCATTTCAAAGCTAGTGAGAGTAGGGCAGACATCAAGACACAGCAAGCGAGCGAGAGAGTTATCAGAATCATCAACAAAGTATCCAGTTGGTTTACAAGACTAAAGTATGAAAATAGTAAATCTCACTGTGTGTTATATAATAAATGTGGGATGTAAATTTTTAAGTATGATAATTAGGTGGACAAAAATTATGAATGGTGTATGACGTTTTGTGGTTGATCTATTTTACAATTAACACAAAAATATACATTTTTTTTATTTTCGAGAGTTATAGTTTGTAGCGATTTGAATTGTTTCAAGTTTGATTACAGATTGGTAGTCAGTTAGTGAATCATCGAACACTAACAGGGAGATATGGCACAGGTCTTAGTCCTTGTTTGCCACTTTTCAGCAGCACGCACCCAACACCATAGTTCAAATCCAATACATTCCGGTAACAAGTCACTCAACGGCCCCCTGGTCACACTAAAATCATAAACCGGCAGAAGTTAGAATTCATGAGCCACCTAGCCGGCTCCCAGTAACTGAATTGTCCGCAAGCTTGGCTTGTTATCAGAAGGTTGCGGTTTCGATCCGTGGTAGTGGGTATGTACTGATGGAGAGTAGCAAACTAGGGTGAAACAGCTGTCGAGTACCCCGTGTGGCTGGCTTTCAATAGTTCTTTAACCGATATTAATCTATGGTCACCCATTCTTCTTTATTGTTCATCCTTATTCTTTCCAGGTTTGCTTAAAAAGGACTACATCACGATTTGTAGAATGCTGAAGACTGTCAATAGGGTGAGTGGTGTCCCAGTGGACTACATAGTTAACGTCATTGTCGACAGGCAGTTGGCTTCGTGCAATAAATTTTCTGGAGTGATTTCGTCTGACTTGGAGCATCCACTTTACTTACCCTCAGCTTTCACCTTGCATCCCCCCAAGCAGAACAAGAAGTAACTTCAGGAAACTGTTTGCTAGCACGTCTAAGTATAAACATTCTATGATACCATACTTGGAACGTATTTTATGTGATGAAAATAGTGTCAGACAAGAATTAACTAACCTTTTTTCATCTAGTAAATAAACAATTTCCTCCATCCATCCGTATATACCTTCACGTTTTACTTTTATTATTTCTGTTATATTTATGGTCCTGTTGCTTCTTTGTTCTACTTTCATAATTGCAAACACCAACTTATCTCTGTGACTGCTGTAATTTTTGTTTTTCCCCTCACCATATCATCATGTAAAGAGAACATTATATTCAATATTTTTAAACATGCTGGAATTTCTATACCGCATCGACAATACTTTGTGAAGCAAGCCCACGGTAATTTTCACTTGTATTATTATTATTATTACCTTAGCTGTTATCATTATTATTATTATTTCTATTTTAAATGCTGCATGTTTTTGACATTACCCTTATTGTAAATGTGGAAACTTTTCTGTGTGATTAATTTTATTTATAATTTGAGGAAATGAGATGCAATATTGTGATTAATGCTGAAAATTCCATTCTGTGGCACAACGGTTAGGACACTCGCTGACCATGCACATAGTCCTGGGTTCGACCCTCTACCGACGCACACCTGATATCTATGGTTAGCCTACAGAATTTGGGCTACCGATATCATATGCTGAAAATTTTATACTTGTGACAAAAATACTGTGTGGAATCAAGGTGTAATAAAAAAAAGTACTGTTTTTGGAATAAAGTAAATCATTATTATTATATATGTATATATATAATGATATCTTTATTCTGGACAGTATTTATAAAATGTACAGAATTTCCACAAGAGGTTATTACATCACATTTTTCCTTCGTACAATATCTTCGAGTAAAATATTAACTGACAGTACATAACCTGTGACACAATGCTCTCTCTGAACTGAAGTGCAAACCATACCATCATGATATATCTGCTTCGTCTCCTTCAAGAAATCCACAACATCTAGTTGAAAGCCAATTGTGAGACGTTCAGAAGTACATTTTGAGACCAAAGGGCTTAACTGAAGAACATTTATATGATGCATTGGAATACGTTGCCACCCACAATCAGACCATTCCTGAAGTTTAGTAGGAACTTGCAAATCTGGAGCTTGTAAACGTTTAAAATACACACGAGAGTAGATTTTCCCATTAGGCGAGAAAATATGTGCAATAAAGAGATGGAAGTTTTGGTAGCTCAGGTTTTAAGCAGGCCGCCAGTATATATATATATATTAATTAGCTGGGAGAGAATTGACGTTCACAGGATTTACATTTTTCAACATATATTAACAAAAAGTAGAAAGTTTAATAGTTTTGTTAAATCTGTAAAAGGTATCAATTTTTAAATATGAATAAAGATGACTAATAGTTTAAAATATAAAGTTATTAATATAAAGATATTGTAGCGACTAAAACTGACTCGGTAAAGTTTGAACGCAGAAAACTGAACTATGCATTCTACTGTACAGCCAGCAAAACCTCCTTGAAATGCACACACTGTCATAGAACGCTCCAATGACAGAAAAAAGATGATTATGCTGGAATAAGTTTGCAGTTCTACTAAACAGTTATAACATGAAAGACTCAAGTTCACCTCAACAATACTGTTAAGCAGCTATGCGGCCTTGTTTCAGTACAAAAGATACACTTAGAATCAACAAAAATATTCCCAAAAAGTGGGATGAAACCTGCATCAGCAAAAATTATGAGCCAGTAAACTAAGTGAGGTCTATGCGTTTATCGATCAATCATTGAAGCTGGACCAGCCGCCTGTCTCAACTGCCGAAACACAACCCAGAGAAAAATCAACAAATAACATGGAATTCCTACCCTTTTTCTAGTGAACTACTGTGTATCGGAATAATTATTTGGAGAATCACTCCTCAACGATCATCTGTTCACAATATTCATAATCCTTTGAATAAATCCATCCAACATTGTAATTATCATCCACTTTTCCCCTAGAATGTATATCATTCTTCTATCGTTTGTATATCATCCTTTGACTTAGTCTTAAATATTTGTCTTTGTTCCAGTTCAGTGTTTGATTTTTAGCGCTTCACTTTGTGGTAATATGTGATGCTACTGATAATGTGTTGGCTTACGAGTGCAGTTTTGTTTGATTGAGCCAAGATCACTCTCAACGTGGACTGTTTGAAGGAATTGTTTGGTGGTGACTGATTCTTGATGACAGAGTTTTGATATGATTTTGTCTGGAGGATTCTTCTTAATCCTCAGGTACTTCTTACTGTTGATCTTGGTTACATAATTCTCTTGTGTTTTACTGCTGCCTAACATCATTGTTCAGGTGATTTTGTCTTTTGATAAGTTAAATAATTCCTCAGCTTTTATCAGAAATCACTGTTTTTTTAGCTGTCATTGGAGCATTTTGTGACTGTGGGTAACTCAAGAAAGTGGAACACGAAGATCGACTTCCTACAACGTGTCGGTTCTAATCGTTACATACTGTACTCATTTATGTCTGAATTCACTTAAGTTGTAAAGGAGAATATTCAAAACTGACGTCTTTTTGCTGATTTGAATGATATCGTGAGTTATGCAGAAGCTTCATCTGCAAAACACTTTGTGCTGCATTCCGCCTTATTATATCTGTAGTTGCGAATTTCATTACGAAATATTACAAATGGTCCTGCAAGAAGACCGAAATGTTTCCTTCCTCGAAAGCAGGTAGCCATGGGATCTGCATTGTCTGGAGGCAGAGGCACTAGCTGTAACGGTGGAAAACGAAAGACTTTGTATCTCTGTATAACAAAATCAAGTACACTTAATCTTCAACGCAACATTTGCACAGATCTTCTGCGTTGCGATACTTTTGACCTTCTTTCATAATGTGTTTCTTTGTGTTCTCTTCACGTCTCCTATGTATCTCCACAACACTGTATCATTTGCTTTCTCTGAAATCAAATCTATCTACACGCTACTAATAAACTTATCAGTAACACACACCACAATACCCCCATTGTTAGTTGGTAAACAGTGATCGTCAATACTCGATAATCCCTGAATCAACAGCTCAGAATGTCCTGTCAACATCAACTCATATCTGCAGTTTTCAGCATAGGTGAATTGTTGGAAAAAGTCGAAAAAATCATTTTAATTGGTGCTTATGTAATACCTCTGTGAAAAAGCTGCATTTCTAAAGCGTGATATAGGTAGGTGGAGGGGGACATTGATCACTGAATCCCTGTTCATCGAATGCACACCTAACACATGCAATAGAAATGATGCCACGCCAATACCCGAGATATGGAAAACATTACTACCAATAAAAACAAAGGATAGGAAATTATGGAATTATATAAACAGTGTCTGAAAGTTATGTGAGGAAGTGTCTTGATGTGATTATGAGCAGCATTAGATTCTGCTTTAAGCACCATTGATTGATGATATTGTATCACCATAATGGAATTCTGCTCTACCGCAATTTCCAATTACTGTCAATATATTATAAAATTTCCTCTTAGGTATCATATGTACAGAATATATCCCTTATAAAATGTTCAAGTTTGATTTACTCCTCATAAGTTTACACTTCATATTTGTCGAGGCAATGATTCAATTCAACAAAGTAGAGTTTATTATAATAAAGGTTTTTTGTATTCCCCAATGAATGAAAAACAAAACGATATTGTTTTTGCTGACGTTTCGCTATTTAATGCTAATAGATTTTTCAAAGTATTATATAATAATAATAATACTTTGAGAAAGCTATTAGCATTAAACAGCGAAACGTCAGTAAAAACAATATCGTTTTGTCCTTTCATTCATTGGGAAATACAAAAAAACCTTTATTATAATGAATATCATACACCCAATGCCCAAATTTTTTTAAACCGTTAAAAGTGAACTTGGTTTGGACATATATAAAGTATAGTTTATTTAATTAAGTAGCATTTAGAATACA